CTGCCTCAGCGTGGCCTGATGAGCGGTGCCATGTCCACGACCAGGATCCAAACCGGCGAAACTCTGGGCCACCAAAGTGGAGCGTGCAAACACAGCCACTCAGCCACGGGGCCGGACCCTGATGTTCATTCTTGACAAGTGCTTACTGCCTACGTTTGGCCTCAATTTGTAAAATGTGCAAAACTAAAGTAAGTATTCTTGTCAGGGATATTTGGAGTAAAGGGTCTCTTCTGACCTAATTTTAAGCCTAAAATGAGGTGGAAGGGCTTCTGATACTTTGTTTTTGGGGATTCAGCTGTGTTGCATGAAAGAGCCACGTGGATTAAATGTTTTATCGTTTCTTTTCTGTAGAGCTTATTGTAAAAACTATGAAAGACTGCTAATAACTGTTGCAAGTAGTTAATTACAGTTTGTAATACTATAATCTTAGTGTCCTGTCGATTTCTTACAGTCATTTAAGAGGATTTTCCTTTGTATTAACATTAGATTCAGTGCTTTAAATTCTTGAGTAAGCATGGAGCTTAAATGTGATACTCTAGTTTCAAGGTGGGTAAAATGTGGCTTATCTAATCCCTAATAATGCATTTCTCAGAAATAGATGTGTGTCTTTTAGTCTTCCTTTGGAGAACTAGGCGTCTTTTTCTGGAACTAGAACATCATAAGACTTTTTAATATAAACTTTATGAAGGTATAGTTTGTGTACAACAAATTTTCCACCTAAAGATTATAATTTGATGTTTTGACAGACGTATACACCTGTGAAATTACCACCACAATTGAAAAGACACAGAACATTTCCGTAATCTTATGGAATAAGAAATTTTCTTATGTCCCTTTGTTGTCCATTTCTCCCTCTCCCCATGGCCCTAGGATACCATGATCTGCTTCCTGTTGCTACAGATTTATTTGCATTTTCTAGAATTTTGAATGGATTAAATTATGCTGTTTTGTATCTGGCTGCTTTCACTCAGCATAATGATTTTGAGAATTCATCTGTCTTGTTGCATGTATCAGTAGTTAATTCTTTTTCATTGCTGGATAGTATCCCAGTGTATGGATAAATCATATTTTACTGATGGACGTTTGGAATTTTTCCAGTTTTTTACTATTATGAATAAGGCTGCTGTGAATATTCATGTAAGTGACTGTGTGGAAGTACATTTTTATTTCTCTGGGGAGTGGAATGACTGGGTCACATGGTAGATTTATGTTTAATTTTGTAAGAAACTCCCAGTTTTCCAAAGTGGTTTTTTTTAAACATTCCCACCAGTAGTGTGTGAGTTTTAGTTGCTCCATAGCCTGGCAACATTTGTTATTGTCAGTCTTAACTACACCTGTACTAATGGATGTGTAATGGTATCTCATTTAATTGGCATTTCCCTGGTGATTAATGATCTTAATTATCTTTTCATATGCTTATGGGTATTCCTAATCTTTTGTGAAACGACTTTTCCAGTCTTTTGGCCATTTCTTTTGATTGTCCTGTTTGTCTTCTTATAAATGAGTTATAATTAAAAAGTTATGTAACTTTTTAAAATTAAACTTTTGATTTTGAGATAATTGTAGATTCATGTGCACTTATAAGAAATAATACAGAGAGATCTTGGGTACAGTTTACCCAGTTTCCTTCAGTGATAAACTATAGTATAATATCACAACCAGGATGTTGATCACCCATCTTGTTCAGATTTCCTTAGCTTACTTGTACTTCTTTGTCTCTGTGTGTGTGTGCTTTTCCTGTGTAGGTTTGTGTTGCCATCATGACAGTAGGGATCCATAGCAGTTCCATCACCACAGGGATCTCTTCTGTTGCCCTGCTCTATCTCCCTTCCCTTTCTTGAGATTAACCCTCAGCAACCATGAATCTTTCTCCATTTCTATAATTTTATTATTTCAAGAGTTTTTATATGAAGAGAATAACAGTATGTAACGTTTTAGAATTAATTGACTTTTCTCACTCAGCATACTTCTCTGGAGATTAATTAGAGTTGTTGCGTGTATCAGTAGTTGGTTTCTTTTTTACTGATGAGTAGTATTCCATGCCATGAATATACCATGACTTGTTGACCCATTCATCCATTGAAGGGCACCTAAGTTGTTTCCATTTTGGCTAGCAGGAGTAAAGCTGCAGTGAATACCTGTGTACAGGTTTTTGTGTGAGTATAAATTTCTGTTTTTCAAGGATAAATGCCCAAGAGTGCAATTACTCTGGGTTGTATAATTGCAGAAACAGCTCACCTGCCAGAGTGACTGTAATCTTTTACATTCCCACCACAGTATGTGAGGGATCCATTTCCTCTCTGTCCTTACTATCATTTGCTGTTGTCACTATTTTTTGGTTTTAGATGAGAGCCCTTCTCTTATGTCTGTAGTGATATCTTGCTGTGGTTTTAATTTGCATTTCCCTAATGGCTAATGAAGTTGATTATCTTTTTATTTGCTTTTTGCCATTTGTGTATCTCCTTTGGTGAATTGTTTGTTGATTTCTGTATTAGTTTGCTAGAGCTGCCACAGCAAAATAGGACAGACTGGGTGGCTTGATCAACAGACATTTATTTCTCAGTGTTGTAGAGGCTGGAAGTCCAAGACCCAGGTGTTAGCAGGTGTGGTTTCTCTTAAGGCCTCTCTCCTTGACTTAGAGAAGGCTGCCTTCTCTGTGTGTCCTTACATTGTCCTGTCCTGTGCTTACTGCCTACATTTGGCCGCAAAAGTCTGACAGCCTTCCTTCATTTTATCCCATCCCTTCCCTTTGTTCCAAGCTGGCAGTGTTTCTGCTGGTATAACCCCATCTCTACTCCTGGCTTCTGCTGAGATGTCAGATTAAATCCATGAGTGGTACTCAGGACCTCTTTATCAAATGATTTTCCAGCCACACTTTTGAAAGAGGTTTGAAGATGCTTTCTTGTTTTTTGCAATACAGATAGACTGAGAATTTTCCAAATCTTCAAATTCTACTTTCTTTTTGCTCAACAATTCCTTTAATTTATCTTTCTTTCTCATGTTTACTATAAGCAACAAGGAGAAACCAGGCTGCGCCTTCAGCACTTTGCTTAGAAATCTCCTCAGCTAAATATCCAAGTTCATCACTTTTAGCTTCTACTTTCCATGTACACCAGAACACAGTTGAGCCAAGTTCTTGCCACTTTGTGACAAGGACCGCCTTTCCTCCAGTTTCCAATAACATCTTCCTCTTTTCCATCTGAGATCTCATCATCATCACCTTTAACATGCATATGCCTGCCACAGCTTCTTCAAGGCAATCTAGGTTTTTTTAAACATACATCTCAAAACTGTTCCAGCCTCTACCCGTTACCCAGTTCCAAAGCCACTTCCACGTTTTTAGGTATTGTTATGGCAGCGCTCCACTTCTGGGTACCAAAATCTGTAATAGTTTGTTAGGGCTGCCAGAACAAAACATCACAGACTGGATGGCGTAAACAACGGAAGTGTGTTTCTCACGGTTCTTCCAGGAGGCTGGAAGCCCAAGATCAAGGTGTTGGCAGGTTCGGTTTTTCCTGAGGCCCCTCTCCTTGGCTTGCAGATGGCTGCCTTCTTGCTGTGTCCTCACATGGCCTTGTCTCAGTGCCACCTTTGGTGTCTCTCTTCTCATAAGGACACCAGTCCTGTTGGATTAGAGTCACACCCATATGATCTTATGTAACCTTAATTACCTCTTGAAAGTCCCTGTTTCCACACAAAGTCACATTGGGGGTTGGGGCTTCAATGTATGAATTTGGGGGTGCGGGGACACAATTCAGTCATAACAATGTCTTTTGTCCCTTTTCTAATTGATTTTCTTTTAACTGTTGAGTTTTGGAGTTCTTTTTATATTTTGGATACCAGTCCTTTGTCATATATATATGGTTGCAAATATTTTCTGCCAGTCTGTAACTTTGTTTTCCTCTTAAGAGGATTTTTCATGGAGCAAGTGTTTTTAATTTTGATGAGGTCCAATTTATCGTTGTTCCCTTTTGTGGGCTGTGCTTTTGGTGTCAAGTCTGAGAATTCTTAAATCTTTTCTGCCATGTTGGAGGAAAAACGATTATAAATTGCAAATTATACATTTTCTTTTGCTGGGGGGAATTTGCAAATTTATAGAAAGAAGGTTCACTTGAAAGAATAGAGGCAGGTCTGTTGTGAGCAAAAGAAACTATTGAGAGACAATTCTTCATGAGTTTTTCTCTTTTTTTGCAACTCTTCTGTATAAAGCATTGATAGTTTTTGTTCTGCACTATCTTTTAGGGAGGTTTATATAGTGCTGCTTGGAAAACAGAAAATCTCTCTCTCCTTGGCAAAGTTATCTTACCTGGTAGCATCATCATATACTTGTCATCCAAGCTGGGAAAGGGGGCGTCCTTATTGAGTGCCACTGTCGCATCCCTCATATTTAGTCAACTTCTAAGTAATTCTTGAATCTATCCTTCATTTTCATCCTTATCACTAACTACTCTGGTTCATTACCTCCTTTTCTCATTTAGATGTTAAAATTTCCTTAATTCTTTGAATTAGGGAGTACCAGTGGGGGTTTCCTATTGTATTTATGTCCTTTTTTTGGGAGGAGTCAGGGATAAAAAAAGATGGTGTGAATGACACATACCCTTTCTGTAATCAGTGCTCTTTCTTGTGATATTCTGAAGAAAGTTCATTTTGGCTTATCAAAATATTTTAGTGCCAATTCAAGGATTTTTCTTATTTTTTTTTTCTGATGATTATGCAGAAGAAATTTTGGGATGAGAGAGTGTATGCCCATGTTCACATTGATATTTTGCCCAGAACCGAGGTACAGTTTTATATTTTTGTTTCACTGATGGGTTTCATGACAACAGAGCACTTTGGTCTTATTTTGTAGGATTAGATGAGAAATATATATTAATTATAAATAGGAATGCAGTTATGCATGTTCTGTCATATTATTTCTAATTCTTATGAAGGTAGTATATTTTAACAGCTGTGTAGTGTAGAAATCTAAATATGGAAATTTTTTGTTTTCTTTTGTATAGGAATGAAGATCTCAAGCAAATGTTGGAGAGCAACAAAGATTCTGCGAAGTTGGATGCTATGAAACGGATTGTTGGGGTAGGTAAAATAGATCATTGCAATTTTTGAAAAATGGACACGTAATGATGATATTAAATATATATATTCAATAATATGTTAAATGTCAAATCGAATATCTCATTTGCCCTTTAATATTAACTTAGAACTCCCTGTCTACAATGTTTTGGAAGAAGTATTGAAGTGTCAGAATTCAGAAACTTGAGTTCTAATTCCATTTTTTCTGTATTTAATTACCCTATATCCAATATCATGATATTTCTCCTATGAGATTGAGAGAGCTAATCATTTTGAAGGCAAAATGAGATTATATACAGCAATATTCTGACTGTCTAAAAAGAGGGATATGAATTAGCTAAAAAATATTTTTTTGTCATTTCATGACTTAAAAATTGTGAGCATGCTTTCTTCTGTGTTTTAGATTCCATTACTACCAAGAGAAATGCTTTATTCTATTTAGTAGCATAGAACTTGTAATGAGTATTAGTAAGCAAAATTCAAACCATCGACTAATGTGTTATTAGAGGGATTCCATGGTCAGAGAGCTAAGAATATAATGCAGTTCCTAATTATGTGTAAAATCTCTAATAGAATACTTTTGCAGTTTGTGTTGCTCTTGCTCTATTTTTTTCGTTTAATTTTTTACATTCACAGTGAAAAAAACTGGCTTAATTCAGTGACTATGTAATGCTAAAGAGTCCTGCTTTTGTCTCAGTGGAATTAAATCAACGAAACCTGTCTTTCTCATCACTACTATGCGTTTTATCACCACTATTGCTGATTTTATTTCCCACGCATTTTTATGCAATAAGGTCAAAATATAATAAATTTGCATAATTTCACAAATAAACTCTATTGCAATAAGATGATAAAACAGCTGAAACAGTACTGTTTTCCAGCAGGCGGTGCCACCATATAAGTGTTTGAAATTTTCTTTCTTTTCTTGATACAGTCAAGTCTAAATCCTATTTATAAAAGATGATTATAGTTATCAATATGTTCTGTTAAAAGGTGAGTTGTTATGAAAATCAAATATATAAAAGTGAAGGTCTTATTGCATCTGCTGAACACCTGTAAATTACTTGGTTCTTATATTCAGCTTTATGCCATTTGGTAATGTAGGGGAAATGTTGAAGATTCTTTAGTAAATTTTTCATTTGTTAATGTTATACTTTATAAATAATAGCATTTATGGACAGGTAGTTCTTGCTTTGCATGGCTTTGATATGCAGAAATTTCAGTTACCCTAGTTTAGTTAAATAATGCCAGTACCCTAAGACACCGTTCAAATTTCAGTTCCTGTGGTATCATTAGCATAGTAATTGCATAATATACCAACTTCAGCACTAACTCTTCAGTCCACAGCTTACTCTGTAGATAGCAAGTGTGCATGGTGGTCAGTGACTGGTCATGGCACGTCTTCCACAGTCTTGTAGTGATTGGTCACTGTGTGTCTCATTCAGTTCATCCTCATGTAGTTGGGTTCCTTCCTTGTTTCCCAGTGAGAAACTGACTTGACATTTTACAAAAATGGATAATTGAAAGAGGGATTTGGTTAACAAAGATGAAAATGTAGCAGAGAAATGAAAAGTGATAACACTGGAAATGAAAATCCGATAGAATGTAAATGGAGTTAAAGAGAAATAGCTGACTGTGGGAATGGTGACACGGCCACTTTTTGAGAGCCTCTAAATATGTAGCTGGAGGAACTTCGTGAAGGTGAACTTTTCAACATAAATGAGGAAAATGTTTGTGATGAAAAGGGTGAAGATAAGCCAGAGGAAGTGATGCTGCCAAAAAACTTCACATTAGAGAAATCCTAGGAGATAATTCACAACACTGAAAGTGCCAAGGATGAAATGCTGGAAAGTGATCCAGCCTTGGATAGGAGTTTGGTAAGTTACCAAGGTATAGAAGAGATGCTTGCTCAGTGTCTTAAATTAAATGGTGAGAATGAGGCACAACCATTCCAAATACTCTTGATAAGATATTCTCAGTGTTTCCAGTGTTCTAAATTATAGTGTAATAAATAAATGTCAGTTTTACTATTTTTCATTTTCCTATTCATTTATAACTGACAGTAAGAGAGTTTTAATGTTTTTGCAAAATTTTTAAAAGTCACAGATCAATTGTAAGCTTTACAATTGATTATCAAGATTGCTTTGCGTGGTTTCAGTTTGCGTTCCTGCTGGTTACTGTCCCGCACTGGCCTGTAAAGCAGCCATTGCTCTTAATTATTTCATTAAACTTTGGCTTTTACGTCCCATTAAGATACGTTATTTCACTAAATCTGAGGATACTATCAAAATTCCAGTTTCAGTTGGATCTGAAACTCTCTAAGACCTTCTTTCTTTTTTTTCATGTTACCTGTAAATTAACCAGTATTTATTTATAAACTAAAAATTTTGAACTTTTTGGAGTAAACCATTTTTATTGCTATGAAAAATGAAGCCAGTTAAAACTGTTAAGAAATTAACTACAGGGCCAGACCTGGTGGCCTAGTGGTTGAGTTCAGTGTGCTCTGCTTCAGCAGCCCAGGTTTTTTTTCTCAGGTGTGGACCTACACTGCTTGTCTGCCAGTGGCCCTGCTGTGGTGGTGGCTCACACACAAAGAAAGAGGAAGATTGGCAGCAGATGTTAGCTCAGGGCGAATCCTCCTCAGCAGAAAAAAAGAAAAAGAAATTAAGCACAATTTCTCCTCTTTTTCTTCCTAAATTTAAAAGATTAACAAGAGTTTTTGGATCTAGATTATTCTTCAATATTTAAAAAAGAACATGAACAACATAAAACCCAATTATCGTAATACACCACGTTAACAGAAGGAAGGAGGAAGAAAACCACATTATTGTCTCAATTTATACAGAAAAAGCTTTTGACAAAATTCAATATTCTTTCATGAGAGAACATTCAACAAACTAGGACTAAGAGGAGACTACCTCAGTATGTTAAAGGCCATATATGAAAAACCCACAGCTAACATCATACTCAGTGGTGAAAGACTGAAATCTTTTCCTCTACACTCAGGAACAAGACCAGGATGTCTGCTTTTGCCACTTCTATTCAGCAAAATATTGGAAGTTTTAGCCAGAGCATTTAGGCAAGGAAGAGAAATAAAAGGCATCCAAATTGGAAAGGAAGAAGTAAAATTATCTTTGTTCACAGTCAACATGATTTTATATTTAGAAAACCCTCAAGATTCCACAAAAAAACTTTTAGAACTAATGAATGAATTTAGCTAAGTTGCAGTATACAAAATCAAAATACAAAAATTAGTTGTGTCTGTACACTAACTGAACAATCCAAAAAGGAAATTAAGAAAACAATCCCATTTACAACTACATCAAAAGGAATAAAATGCCTAGGAATAAACTTAACCAGGGAGGCAAAACACTTTTACCTTGAAAACTGCAAAACGTTGCTGAAAATAATTAAAGACACAAGTCGGTGGAAAGACATCTTGTGTTCATGGATTGGAAGACTTGATATTGTTACGATACCCATCTTCCCAAAGTGGTCTACATAGTCAGTGTAATTCCCGTCACGATCCCAGTGCTGGGTTTTGAACAGACACCTCTCTTGTCTTATACTTTGGTAGTAGGTAATATTAGGGCCATTTATGATTAAATGGTAAGTTACGCTAGGGAACGGGATATCCTATATCCACTCATTCCCCAGTGGTAACTAATGAGTAGATGGTTGTTTTCTGAAATATCTCAAGTGAACCACATCATATAGAAATTTTTTGAAATTTCTGTCATGTATATACTATCATATCTGAAATAAAAAAATAGCCTGGATTGACTCAATAGCAGAATGGATATAACAGAAGAGCCAGACGTTGAAGACAGATCGTTAGAAATTAGTCACTTTGCAGAATAGAGATTAAGAAGAAAGTAGTACAGCCTCAGGTTCTTATTGGATGATATGAGAAGATCTAACAAATGTGTTCAGAAGAAGAGAAAGAGATTGAGGGAGAAAAAATATTTGAATAAATATTGGCTGAAAACGTCCCAAATTGATGACTGACATAAATTTGTAGATGAAAGAAGCTCAGTGAACCCCAGTCAGGATAAACTCAAAGAAAACTATGCCTTAACGTATAGCAATTAAACTGTGGAAATCCAAAAATAAAGAAAAACATCTTGAAAGTACCTGGGGAAAAAATGATACATAACATACAAAGGAACAGTGATTTGAATAACTCCATATTTCCCATCAGAAACCATGGCAGCCAGAAGACCGTCTTTAAAGTGGACCATCTTTAAAGTACTAAAAGAAAGTAACTGTTAACACAGAATTCTATATGCAGTGGAAATACCCTTCAAGAATGAAGATGAAATAAAGACATTCTCAGGTGAAGAGAATCTGGGTATTTTTAGCTGATCTGTTTTAATGAAATGCCAATGAAAGTTCTTTAGGCTAAAGGGAAATGATAGATGGATTTTGAGTAAGACCAGTCAAAATGGTAAATATCTGGTAAACATAAAAGTCTAATTTTATTCCTCTTATGTTATCCCACTGTCTAAGAGATTTTCAAGGATGTAAATGTAATGGAAATGAGAGCTGTAACATAAAGGCTAACAGGGAGGGAGGGACTCAAAGGGCCTATATGGTTGTAAGGTTTCTACACTTTATTTGGCCTGGTGCAAGATTAGCTCTAAGCAGACTGTGAAAGGTTTGATAAATCTCGATTGATCTATCTATCTGATAATCCCTAGAGGAAGAACCACTAAAAGTCATACAAAAAGATATAGCCAAAAAGTCAATATAAAAATTAAAGCACTGGGGCCGGCCCCATGGCCGAGTGGTTAAGTTCGCGCGCTCCGCTGCGGCGGCCCAGTGTGTCATCGGTTGGAATCTTGGGCACGGACGTGGCACCGCTCATCAAACCACGCTGAGGTGGCATCCCACATGCCACAACTAGAAGGACCCACAACTAAGAATATACAACTATGTATCGGGGGACTTTGGGGAGAAAAAGGAAAAAGAAATAAAAAAAATTAAAGTACTGAATACTAAAAAATTCCCAAATAATGGGGATAGCTGTGGGCAGAACAGGAAACACAGGGAATAAAGAGAAGACACGTAATAAAACAGTAGACCTGAATCTTACCACATCAGTAATTTTATTAAACGTAAGAAGTCACCTGCTAAAAGAGATTGTCAGATTGGATGACAGTATCAGGATGCAACTATGTGTTCTCTAGGAAAAATCCACTTTTAATGTAAAGACATAAATAGAGTAAAAATGTAAGGATGGAAAAATATATACCATGCAGACACTGACTGAAACATGAAAGAGCGACTCCTGCTCCCACCCTAGCACTTCCCATTTCTCTTAGAATCCTTTGTTTTTCTCCGTAGTACTGTCTTTTACCACCTCACATATTGTATTTGTTTATTGTCCCTCCCCCCGTTAGAAGGTCCAATGGGCGAGGACTTCCTGTTAGTCATGGCTGTATCCCCAAGGCCCAGAATAGGCCCTGGCCTGTAGTGTCCTCACAGCAGTATTTGTTGAATGCGTTTGACTGTAGGATTTTTTCCTCCCTCGTGTGTAATGTCTCTTTGAATAGCATTCTGTAGAACGAAGCTGGGGAAGCCTTGGAATAGGACATAATAGGACAGGATCTCTGATTTCAGGTACTTGTGAATAACTGAAGGAAGGGGCCCTAGAGAACAGCTAATCCGTCTTTCTTTATTTGACAGATGAGGAAGTTGAAAGAGTTGTGAAAGTCATATAAAGATGTTTTAGCCACAGGATTTTGTGAACCTTCTGTAGTACTTAGCAGGTTTCACAAAATACTCAAATCAAATAATATCACAAGGAAAGAAATAGAATATGAAAAGACTATCTTGTATCAGAGTATTTTAAAGCTGTCATGTAGGAAGGTCTTCTGAGAAATTGCTAACTGGGATTATAATGCTTATAATATCACATAATATTTATAAAACATTTGTCATAAATTCATAACACTAATACCTTCTTTTTTTTTTAGGAAATTTCTTAGATATGGTGGGTAATTCATAAAAAATCCCTTTCCAAAAAATTATCCTATAGTTAAACTTTATTTTGTGTTATCGAAGTCTGGACTATTAAAAGACATAAAGATATATTCTGGGCATGGGAGTGAAGCAAATGGGAATACAGGTAGACATAAAGCTGAAATAAATAGAAATAAAAGATAGCACATAGGAAATTCCAAATGAAAAGTGTAAATGAAAACATTCTGGAGGAAATGAGGTTTGGAGGCCGTAGTGGGCAGAGTATTAGGAGACAGCTATAGCAAGGGAGAATGATTAGAATGTGATGGCACTCTAGATGGAGTGGTAGAACTTAGAAAAGTAAAAAGAATTGGGTTGGGGGCATGATGTGAGCACAGGCATAGAGGAGTCAGAGAATGTTCTGGTAGTGAGTATCTGATCTTTGATAATAGCATTGATATAGAACAATAATGGTTGATGAACTTAAAAGAGATGTAGTGCAAATTGTGAGAGCGTTTGAATATTAAGTGAAATAGTTTGGACTCTGAGGAAGTCAGAGGCTTTAGAAATCTTTGAGTGGGGCTGACATGCAAAGTAGGGTTTTAAGCATGGTAAGCTCAGTGATGTCCGTTATGGATAGGAGCAGACGGGACTGTTGGGAAGTCCTTTGTGAGGTGATCCTGACCTGTGCTAGGAGAGTAGCAGTGAGAAGCGATTAACCTGAGGGTACTAAGAAATCACAGCAGGACCTGGTGTAGGTGTGAGAAGAGACAAAATAATTCTATTCTTGTATTATCTTTCTGGTATCTGGGAGAATTAGTGGAAATAGGAAATTCTAGCATGAATGCCATTTCATTGTGAAAAGTGAGTTTGGTTTTAGACATAGTAAGTTTGGGATGAGAGAGACATCTGATGATGTCCAGTTAGAGAGGTGGAACTGGATCTCGGAGTTAGGGCTAGAGTTTGGGGAATTGATCCCCACAGAGGTGAGAGTGACGTGACGCGGGTGCATGAAATCTTATGAGTTTCAGAGACTGTAGAATGGTGTAGCCTGAAGAGATGGGTTGCAGAGAACTTTCATGGGCAGAGGAAGAGGCTTTGGTGAAGGGGACTTTGAAAAGTCATGGTCCGAGACGTGGGGGAATCCATGAGAAGAAAGCCAAGGGAGAAAGAATTCATTTAGACTAACATTTGTTCCCCACCCTGGCTCCAAATGCGGTACACCTTTAATGTAAGGACGTGGAAGGTAAAGAACAGTGCAGACATGTAAAAGTATTTACAGCCCCATTAGCCAGAGAAAACTGGTGTAAATATTTTATTATATGTCTTAAATTAATTTATATTTCTTCCTTAATGTGTCTGTGTATTTGTGTATTTATGTTGATACACAGGAGTTGTTTGTTCTTTGCTGTAGATAGTTGGGATAAGTAAGATGAGTCAAAAAGAGTTCAGCTTGTTCGTCCCAGAGCTTATTGCTGATTTAATCTTCTAAATATTTAGTGATGTGGAATTTGTGTTTTATTTTCAAATGACTAATTAGAAAAAGTTTTAGCCCTAATATTCCACTTTTATTCTTCAGATGATTGCAAAAGGGAAGAATGCGTCTGAATTGTTTCCTGCTGTTGTGAAGAATGTGGCCAGTAAAAATATTGAGGTACTGTTTTGATTCCTAATTTTCATGATTCCTTTTGTTGTACAAGAATCATAAACTTTTCAGTTACTTTGAAATGCAACATAAGATATTTAAGTATCACTAGATTTTTATTACAATTAAAATGTCCGTAATCTTAAATAGGTAAAATAGAATAAATAGTGGATATAATCCTAGCTTTGGACTTTTGGTGGATAATGTGACAAGTAAAATTGAGAGTAATTCGCCTGGGTGAATGATGGTAACTTGTTTTGAGTATCTCTAGAGGCCACTTTAGTTGAAATTCTGCTCTAGGCTCTTAATTTTGAGATAGCATATCTCTAGTGAAACAGACCTAAGTTCCCACAGTGTCAGATCAGGGCTTGGACTCAAGTATTATGACTCCAAATCTAGTGCTCTTGCTGGAGCATCACTGCTCTGGTTTATTCTGCCTCAGTACTTCAGGAGGTGAGCAGAAGGCAGAATGTAGCTGGAGCCTTCAGTTACTGCTCCCTGTACAGGCCTGTATATGGAGTTTGAAACAGGACTTCAAGGAAATTTGAGACCAGTGTTGGTAGTGCTGGGTCACATGGACTAATGACTTCTGACAGAATGCAAAAAACAAATATGAGCCAGTATAGGAACCACTGAGTAAGGTGAGTAGGATGAAGAGTTCGATGAAGGGGTCGAGAGATTGATGTGAGCAAGTGGCTTGTATTTCGAAAGAACAGAAGGTAGTAATGAAAGGGATCAACTAGCCACCTCTCTCCTGAGTCTCAGCTTCAGCTGATGTTGGGTAGCAGTTGCTGAGGATACGTTCAGAGGGTTCTGAGGAGATGTGTTGGCTCAGTAGGAAGTAGTGATATCTGCAGGAGAGTGAGAACGCCAGCACGCACGCTTCCTGTTCGCCATTGCTGGCAGCTGAGCCTCAAGGAGGAGGCCTGGCTCTCTTCTGGGAAGTCTGGGAGAAAGAGCAGTCACCACTGAAGAATATTTTCAAGGACCTGGTGACATCTAGGTAGATGTTTTAGGTAGAGGAAAATGGAGTGTAAGGGGTAGAAATTAAGCATATGGGAAAGTTTTTTTATTTATAATCAAGTATTGTTAGTATTATTCTTAAAGCTTTATCTCTTTGTTTTGTTTTTTGATTTGGTAGGTGCCTTTTCTACTTTCAAATAACATCATACCACTTCACATATGCTTTGAAAACCTTACGACAGTAAATTTCCATTTGCCCCCTCCCATCTTTTCCCATGTTATCAGGCATTTTACTTCTAAATGTGCTAAAACACCCTAAATATATAGTTATAATTTTTGCTTTAAAGAGTCATTCATCTTTTTAAAAGATTACAGAAATGTAATTAACATGCCATAAACCTCTCACTTTTAAAGTGTGCAGTTCAGTGATTTGTAGCATGTTCACAGACTTGTACAACCATCACCACCATCTAATTCCACATTTTCATCACCTGAAAAAGAAAACCTACGTTCATTAGCGGTCACTCCCCGTTCCCCCCGTCCTCTGCAACTGCTCGTCTACACTCTCTCTCTATGGATTTGCCTATTCTGGGCATTTCATGTAAGTAGTCATAGAATATGTGGCTTGTGTCTGGCTTCCTTCACTTAGCATAATGTTTTCAGGTTCATTCATGTTGTAGTGTGTATCAGTACTTCATTCCTCTTCATTGCTGAGTAATATTCCATTGTCTGGATATATTGCATTTTGTTTAATCCTTCATCAGTTGATGGACTTTTGAGTTTTTCCCACCTTTCGGCTTTTGTGAATAATACTGCTGTAAACATTTCATACAGGTTTTTGTGTGGACGCATGTGTTGATTTCTCTTGAGTATGTACCTTGGAGTGATATTGCTGGGTCATGTGGTAACTCTGTTTAACTTTGAGGAACTGTCAAACTGTTTTCCCTAGCAGCTGGACCATTTTACAATTCCATCAGCAGTGAATGTGAGTTCTACTTCCTCCACATTCTCACCAACGTTTGCTCTTTTCCTTTATTAAAAAAATTGTTGTCTGTCTTTTAGATTATAGCCATCCTCAAGGGTGTGAAGTGGCATCTCATTACCACTTTTGAAATTTTGCTTTATGTTTCCCTAATAAGAAATTGTTGAGCATCTATTGGCCAGTTCTGCATCTTCTTGGGGAAAAAAGTCTATTCAGATCCTGTTCCCATTTTGTAATTGGGTTGTTTGTTTTTTTATTGTTGATTTGTGAGAATTCTTTATGTATCCTGAACACTTGTTTATCTGATGTGTGATTTGCACATATTTTCTGCCATCCTGTGGGTTATCTTCATTTTCTGGATAGTTTCCTTTGAAGCACATGTTTTTAATTTTGACAAATTCCAGTTTATCTATTTTTTTCTTTGTTTCCTTATGCTTTTGATGTCATATCTAGGAAACTGATGCTTAGTCCAAGGTCATGAGGATTTATTGGGTTTTTCCTAAGTCTTATAGTTTTAACTTTTGTGTATAGGATCATGATTCATTTTGAGTTAATTTTTGTGTATGATGTCTCCGTGCAACTATTCATCTGCTTTGTGTCACTGTACTTTTGTCATTTCTAGAATTTCTTATAAATTGAGTTATTCAGTATGGAATCTCTTGTGTTTGGCTTCTTTTACTTAGGAAATTGAGATTCATCTATGCTGTTTTGTGTATTCACATTTTGTTCCTTTTTTTGCTATAATTTGGATATTTCACAACTTTTTGTGTGTGTGTGAGGAAGATTGGCCCTGAGCTAACATCTGTTGCCAGTCTTCCTCTTTTTACATGAGCAGGATTGTTGCTGAGCTAACATTTGTGCCAGTCTTCCTCCATTTTATATGTGGGATGCTGCCACAGCATGGGTTGATGAGCAGCATGTAGGTCTGCACCCGGGATCCGAACCTGCAAATCCCAGGCCTCCAAAGCAGAGTGCGTTAACTTAACCACTACACCACTGGGCTGGCCCCTACAATTTTTTAATTTGCCAGTTGAAATACACTTGGATTGAATAAAATGCTATGTGTGGGCAGATATTTTATTTTTTGGAGGGTAAATGTTTAGGAATAGATTCGTTGCATTGTCTGGGAAGTATATGTTTAACTTTTAGAAAATAATGGTGTATAGTTTTTCAGAGCAGCTGTAGCATTTGTATTCCCACCAGCAACGTATGGGAGAGCCAGCTGGTTTGCACCCCTTCCAACACCTGATCTCATTAGACTTTTTAGCTTTAGCCATTTTGGTGGGTGTGAAGTGGTATTTCATTGTGCCTGTAGTTGCGTTTCCCTGCTATTTAGTGATGTGAGTCTTTCTAGCCAGTCATCAAGTATGAAGATGGTCTTGGTGGACCCCTAGCACAGGGCTTTTTAGATTTTCTATTTCTTCTTGGATCTATTTTGGTAATTTTTTATTCAGGAAATTTATCCATTTCATCTAGGTTGTGAGTTTATTGGCATAAAGTTGTTAATATCCTCTCAGTATCCTTTTGCTGTCTGTAGCTTCTGCTGTGATGTTTCCTCTTATTCCTGGTATTGGTAATTTTTGTCTTCTCTTTTGCATTTTTTTTAAGTGTTGGCTGTATACATTCTAAACTTTTTACAGTACAGTTATATTTAATATTGCACCTCTTCACATAAAGTATAGAAATCTTGCAACTACGTACATTCATATTGCTCCTGTCTTTTATGTTTAGTGATTATATGTCAGATTAAAAACATCGTAAGACAATGTAATTTTTGCTTTTTAAATATTTGTGATTTATGAAGAAAGTCAGAGAAAACAGTGTTTTTATTTATTCAGATGTTTCCTGTTTCCAGGCTTCTCTCTGTAGCCTGAGGACGCAGGTTCCTGTTGGTGTGATGTCCTCCTGCCTTCGCACCCTGCGTTGGCTTTTCTGCAGTGCAGGTGTGCTGCGGCTGGGTTTCCTGACTGTCGTTTATCTGAAAGTGCTTCCGTTTTACCTCCGTTCCTGAAGGATTGTTTCATTGCTCATGGAATTCCATGTTACTAGTTTTTGTCTTTAATGCTTTAAAGACTCTTGCATCCTCCATAATTTCCTGTGTTGTGTCCCTGTGAATTGGATCAATACCCCTTATGTAATTTATCATTTTTCTCTTGATACATTCATATTTTACTCTTTATCTTTTACGTTCACTTGTCTTGGTTTGAGCTTTGTGTTCATTTGGCTTGGGGTTCGTTGAGCATCTTCCATGAATTTTTGTCTTTGATCAAAATTAGGGAATTTTTGGCCATTATTTCTTCAGATAATTTTTTGCTCCATTCTCTTCTCTTTCTGGTATTGAAATTCCATATGTTGTGTTGTTTGATATTATCTAACAGTGTATGAAGCCTTTTTTGTCTTTTTATGTCTTTTTTTGTATTCCTCACATTCAGTAATTTTTATTCATCAATTTTCAAGTTCACCTACTCATTCTTCCATCATTTCCATTTGATTGTTAAGTACACTCAGTGACTGTTTTATTTTAGAATTGTATTTTTTCATTTTAGAATTTCAGTTTCTTTCTTTTTTATCCTGTTTCTTTGGTGACATTTCCTATATTCTTTATTAATTGAGAGCATGTTTTCTTTTACTTAATTAAGAAGAAGTGTAATATCAGCTCTGAAATCCTTGTCTGCTAGTTCTACCACCTTGTTTATCTCAGGCTTGGGTTCAGTCGATTTTCTTTTCTGTGTGTATGTGTTCTCTTTTCTTAGTTTTTCATATTTGGATAATTTTGAGTTGTATTTTGACATTCTGTTAAATCTTGGAGATTCTGTATTCTTTTATTTTTACTCCACAGGTGGTGTTTTTGAAGGCAGTCATCTTGACTGGGTTAAATTGCAGATTCTGTTTCTTAGGCAGCAGCTTCAGTCTGGTTTCATAGTTTTTCTCTTTTGCTGCGCTACCTGAAGTCTGTTCTGCACTTGCGTAGTTCAGGAGTCAGAGAGGGGGTTGAGATACTTGAGAAGCCCGTCTCCAGCTCTCTCCCTTCTGGGGTTCTCCTACTTTCTTCAGTGGCTGTGGT